GTCGGCCAAGCAGTTCGGCTGTTCCAATTGAGGGGGCCTTTAATACCGCTGGGCTTCCGCAGGTGGACCCTTCGATTGGATGCTCTTGAGGATGCCGGCGTCTCCCAGCGATTGCGCCATATCCCTCAGCTCCAGTAGAGTGCTTGTCTGCTTGTCGGGAACAGCTGGTGATTATTGCCCGTCGTTCTTCTTCTTGGAAGCGGCTGCAGGACTCGGATCACGGCACGGCGATCGGCAACGTTTGCAGAACCACCAATTGCCCGAGTTGAGAGCACACCCGCACTTGTCATATTTCCATGTGGTCTGTCGTTCCCATATCTTTTTGCCCCACCGCTCAGTGACGCCAGCCGCGACATCAGACGGTTCCCATTGGCGACGACCCATATCAAGCCACTCGACTCGCTGGCGCGAGCCGTGCAGAAGTATCTTTTCAGCAAGCGATGCAAACAACTCGTTTGAGCCAAATTTGCTCAGCCAGAATGGCTACAGAGGGAGGAGGAGAAGGAGGAGGAGAAGCAGGAGGAGGAAGAGGAGGAGGAGGACGAGGAGGAGGAAGAAAAGGACGAGGAGGAGAAGGAGGACGAGGACGAGGAGGAGGACGAGGACGAAGACGAGGACGAGGAGGAGGACGAGGACGAGGACGAGGACGAGGACGAGGACGAGGATGAGGAGCAAGAGAAGTAGGAGGAGAAGAAGGAGGAGGAAAAGGAGGAGGAGGAAGAGGAGGAGGGGGAGCAGGAGGAGGAGGAGGAGGAGGAGGAGGAGGAGGGAAGAGGAGAGGGGAAGAGAGAAGAGGAGGAAGAGGAGGAGGAAAAGGAGGAGGGAGGAGGAGGAGGAGGAAAGAGGAGGAAGAGGAGGAGGAAAAGGAGGAGGGAGGAGGAGGAGGAGGAGGACGGGGAGGAGGAGAGAGGAGGAGGAGAAGGAGGAGGAGGAGGAGGAAGAGGAGGAGGAGAGAGAGGAGGAGGAGGAGGAGGAGAAGAGGAGGAGGAGGAGGAGGAGGAGGGGGAAGGAAGGAGGAGGAGGAGGAGAGGGGAAGGAGGAAGAGGAGGAGGAGGAGGAGGAGGAGGAGGACGAGGACGAGGACGAGGACGACGGGACGAGGACGAGAAGGAGGACGAGGAGGAAGGAGGAGGAGGAGGAGGAAAAGGGAGGAGGAGGAAAAGGAGGGAGGAGGAAGAGGAGAGGAGAGGAGGACGAGGACGAGGATGAGGAGGAGGAGAAGGAGGGAAACGAGGAGGAGGGAAACGAGGAGGAGAGAGACGAGGAGGAAGGAGACGAGGAGGAGGAGGAGGAGGAGGAGGAGGAGGGAGGAGGAGGAGGAGGAGGAGGAGAGGGGCACCCTTCGAGGGGGGGGGGGAGGCAGCGGGCGTGCCGCACTGGCGGGCGTGTCCTCGCTCCATGGCTTGGCGAGGGGGCCTCTCGCTCCGCGACTGGGACGGCGCCTCGCTGCGCGTCCGGGGACTGCTTGTCGCATCGGCGGGGTCTCGCGCGAAGGCATCGCTGCTGCGTCGCATCGAGTCCGCTGCTGCTGCTGCTGCTGCTGCTGCTGCTGCTGCTGCTGCTGCTCGGCCGGTCCCTATCCCATCCCAATCCACATCTCGAGCCCCACCGTCTCATCACCTCAGTTGGAGATATGACCCCTCGAAACCGTCGAAACCCGAAGAGAGCAGCCCATATCCCCATCCAGGGGGGTAAATCGGCCAGTGGGGCCCAGCCCACGCTGGTGGGGACGGGTATCGGTTAAACGATACTCATCGCGCGGGGCCTGCCTCCGCGGTTCGGGTGGGGGGGTCTTCGCTCCGTGTCTCTGGTTGCGCCCCTGCGCACGATGGGGCATTGCTCGCGCGGATGGGGGTTTCTCGCGCGGCGGTGGCGCAACTGCGTCGCATCGGGGATCTGCTGACCCAGGTCACGCAGACCCAGGTCCAGGCTTTGCAGCATCCTGCATGGTCCTGCACCCAAGCCCGGGTCAGTGCGAAGCTAGCCCTGCAGGACCCTGCAAGATCCGGCGCGCTGGCTGATCCACGTTTGCTTTTTGCATTGGCCCCCGTCCCTTGAGCCCCGATCGCCTCCGCAGGGGTCTCGCTGCGCGACTTGACTTGGCATCGCTCGGACGTGTGCGTTCGTTCTTCGGCGAGGGCCATCGAGGAGCATCCTTGACCAAATGGCGAAAAACCACGCACGACAACGAAAAAAACACAGGGAATGGACGCGCGAGCGATGCCGCAGCGCTCCTCCTGGAACAGCCAGGGCCCTCCAGCTGGAACAGCCAAGAGGGAGGGGACGGGGGGGGGTCGCCTCGAAAGCTCACCCCCTTTTGGGTACAGTGCTGTTTTTAAGACAGGCTCCGCGTGCGGATCATGTATTACACATGCAGGGATTTAGTACTAAAAACAACGATGAGCTCATGCATAAGTTTATTCATGAGTGGATCATGTATTCGAAATCCAATATTTAAAACAAACGTCATATGTAATAGAGAAACTGCCCTGTCGGGGGAGGGGGGGAAGGCTGCTTTGTCAGCACCTCTGCATCCTCGAGGGCGCGGGCCCTGTCTGTATATAGATGCCGGGCCCGCGCCTCCGAGGGGGAGCAGCCTCCCTCCAAGCAGCCTGCCCCCCTCCCCCCGCTGCTCAGGAGGGGAACAAAAGCACACAGACACAATTGATCGTCGATCCCCAAGAAAGTAGGGGAACATGTGGGAAGTGGGGGGGAAGACAGAAGCCCAGAAAATATTGGAAAATGTGGGAATCCTGTTATTTGTGTGTATTTTGATGTGTGTCCCAGGGCCCCTTCAGTTGTGCGCGCCGCCCAATCTTTTCGTTCCCGAGGGAGGCGCGCTCCGCGGCCGGTGGGGGTCGCCCTTCTCTCCGCGACGACTCGGCGCTGCTTTTCGGCACGAAGGTACGGAAAGAACGGGTACGATGCCCAGCAGCAGTTCTTGTTCATTTTGAACAGGACTCGCTGTCCACGCCGCCGCGGCCTGTGTCCATTCGAGACAGAAGGCCGCCTGCCCAACAGCGGCCGCTGTTGGTTTGGGACGGAATTTGTTTGTTGGGCATTGTACCCGTTCTTTCCGTACCCATTTCGGGCGTCCAAAGTTTTGCGCGGGCGCGGGGTCCTCTTCGCGGAGGTGGCGCGGTTGCGTCCCAGGGCAGGGGGAATCCCAATGGGGGCACAGGATGGGGAGCCTCGACTGGGGAGTGCACGAGAAGGAACCCAATTGCGGAGCCCGACGAGGAGGAACCCACATTTCGAAGAAGAAAAATTTCCATGAACACTGTTGGCTCTCCGTGCGGATTTCTTGGATCCGCGTTGGGCCCCCCAGGCGGCGCTTCCGGCGCCGCCCCTGGCGCGCTCCGCGCGCCAGGGAAGGGGTGTCCGGCGCAGATCCAAGAAATCCGCGAGGAGCGCCAAACGTTTATGTTTATGTTGTTTTTTCTTCTCTAACAGTGGGGTCCCCCAGGAGAGGGGATCGTTAATCATTCATGGTCCATGGCAAGATCTCTGACTCTTTGCGGGGCGAGATGGCGTACCCATACGGAGTCCGATGAGAAGAAGTCAAAACATGGGGGGCCCCATAACAAGGAATCTCGATTGGAGGGCCCCGAGGGCAATAATCCCGCTTGGGCAACGGCGGATGGAAGAGGAGGATTGAGTGGCCCAAGACGCATCAACGATGTTGCAATAAACCATCTCTCGAAGTTCCCTCTCATAGGTCCCCGCAAGAACGTATTTTTCCACTGCGGGAAGTGCCCCTTTAGAAGACAGCCAATTGAGATTCTCTAATCGTGCCAAAAGACCATTCTTGGGTCTCCAGCGCCGTGAATCAACGTGACTGTTGCGTCCTGACACTCCTACTTTGCGACAGAGCACCATTCCCAGGACTTCAACACCTCGAATCAATGTGACTGTTGCGTCCTGGCAGACCTTGAATCTTGCCTGAACCATCCCTGGGATTTCAACAATACGAGCCATTGTAATGATACAAACTTTTTAAGATCAATGTGCGCGGTGCTCAGACGAGAGCTACATGTTGAGAAGGAACCGCCTTCCATCCTTGGAACTGCTGCAAACTCATCAGACGAATGTGCGCGGCGCTGAAGCGAGAGCCGCATTGAAAACCCTCCCACCCGCCTTCAATATTTGAAACCGCTGCAAACTTGTCAAGACGAGTCTGCGCGGCGCTACGGCACGAGTCAGATTTTGTGGAGATCACCCTCCGTCCATCGTTGAACATGATGCACGCTTTTAATATGAATATGTGCTGCGCTAATATCATAGTAACATTTTGAAACTTATCCGCCCTTCATTCTTGAAGCTGTTGTAAACTCATAAGCCGAATATGCTCGGCGCTTCGGCAAGTTCGGAAGTTAGTTTTGAGAAGAGCCCGCCCTCCATCTGTGAAATTGTAGTGATTTCCAAGCCTCTGGATCATGAACTGTGAAAAGTTTTCAGGCGAAACGCCCAGCCCACCCTACGGACACGTCTCGGGGTGCGACAGGGAGGAGTTACTTGTAAGGAACATGCAAGAAGGAAGAGGAGGAGAAGGAGGAGGAGGAAAAGTGGATGTGGCGACGGCGGAGGGAAGAGGATCGAGGGTTGCAAAATGTGTCCTTGGCCGAAAGCGCCCCCAGGATTTCTGGAACACCCCCACGACCACCAGAGCACACCTCACGAGGCCCAGAGGGCCGCCGGAGCTTCAAACTGGCGCGAAAAGCTTGGAGGGGACACCTTGGGCCAGGACCACTCCTAGCACCACCCAGGAGGAGGATGAGGAGGAGGAGGAGGAACGAAGATGAGGTGAAGGAGGAGGAGGAGGAGGAGGAAGGAGGAGGAGGAGGAGGAGGAGAAAGAGGAGGAGGAGAGGAGGAGGAGGAGGAGGAGGAGGAAGAGGAGCCGCCAACGAGGAGGATGGGGAACGGAGGAGGAGGAGGAGGAGGAGGAAGCGGAGCAAGAGGGAGGAGAAGGAGGAAAATGAGGAAACGGAGCTGCGCGAGGCGCAGAAGATCCTCGCCTCGGCCACCGGTGCCACCAGCGAGGAGCTGGCCGAGTTCGCGGAGCAGCACCTGCGCAAGCCCTGGCGCCAGGGGTGTGGGGGCGGCAGAGGAGGAGGAGGAGGAGGAGGAGGAGGAGGAGGAGGAGGCAGAGGAGGAGGAGGAGGAGGGCCCTGGAGGCCGCCTCCGCCGGCGGAAGCTCGGCCTAGCTCTGGCGTCTCGTGATCGGAGGGGGGGGCGATGGGAGGGCGATCCTCGAAGAGGGACCAGAACGGCACCAGAAATGCTCTGAGGTCCGCGCAGGGTACTTGGATTGCCGCCTCTGGCGGCGAGGACTTCTTGGGCCAGCGCGCGCCGGATCGGCGCCAGGTCCGCGCCGTTGGTGCGGGGGCGGGGGGCGGGGGCCCCGGGCAGTCCCGAGCTTCGCTGAGCTCGGGCGTCTCGCGTTGGAGGTCAGGGGTAACGATGGGGGGGATGGGCACAGGGGGGGGGATGCATCGACCCCCAATCGCCCATTGATCGCCGATAGAGGTCTGATAGCCCTGTCCCGCCCAGGAAGGTGCGGATTCACTATCCGGGGCCTATTTCCGATCTATCGGCGGTGTATCGCCGACTCCAGGTCGATGCGTCCCTCCCCATACCAGTCCCCCCTATCGTTGTCCCCATGGGGGGGGGGGCACCAAGCGGTGCGTTCCAGAACGGCCTTTCGCGGGCGATGTTTCTGCACCCGCCCCCGACTTCTCGACGAAGCACGAAGCCGCTCGGAAGAGAGGAGGAGAGAGAAAGGAGGGGGCAACACAAGGAGGGAGGAAGAGAAGGAGGAGCAGGAAGGGGCAGACAAGGAGGGAAGAAGAGGCGGAGAGGGCAGCCAGGGCAGAGAAAGGAAGGACAGAGGAGAGAGGGGCGCGCGAGGGCGAGGAGAGACTGCCCGCCGCGGGGAAATCCTGGGATACACCCCAGGGGGGCTATTCGGCCGCACCCCTATCGAGGATGGACGCCCCCGACCGTATATATCCCAGGGCTGGGCCCAGAATGTCTGGTCCAACCGAAGACCCCTGGAAGGCCTGGGATAGGGGTCGACATATCCCCAGTTAGCCCTCGCCGTCGAGGATCGGAGGAGTTGCCGTCTCGTCGTCGGCGGAAAAGCGGCGGAAGGGCAGCGGATGCCCGTGATGGGGCGGGGCGAGGATCGAAGAAGGAAGGCGCAGAAACATCATTTCTCGGAGGTCCGAGCGGATTTCTTGGATCGGCGCCTGGCCCCCCTGGCGGCGCCTCTGGCGCCGCCACTGGCACGCTCCGCGCGCCAGGGAGGGCTGTCCGGCGCAGCTCCAAGAAACCCACGCGGACTTCAGAGCAATCATGTTCACGCACTTGTTTGCCCTTCCTCATCCTCTTCCGTCTCCTCCACCTCCTCCTCCTCCTCCTCCTGCTCCTCGTGGGCGGCTCCTCCTCCTCCTCCTCCTGCTCCTCCTCCTCCTGGAATGGCTCGAGGGGGGCATCGAGGCTCGCGGGAAGGGGCCCCAAAAGGACCTCCCCCCGGACCCCCAAAGGTGCACGCGGGGTGCACCTGCCTTTAGTTGTAAGTCGGGCACGCTCGTCTACAGGAGGAGTGCTCAAAAACAGTGAAACGTAGTCTGGGGACGATGCTTCGATTGTCCAGATCCGCCGCCGGCAGGAGGGCAAACTTACTGACGTACTCGACCCAACTTCCATGGCACCCCCTGGTCACTGCCCTGCCCCCCCCCCCCGCGCACTCGGCGAGCCGCCGCCTCGCGCGCAGGCTGTGGACGTCAGAGAGTGCCGTGCGCGAGCGCCTCTCCCGACTGGCGGCGCGCCCCCGGGGGGGAAGCGAGCGGCCCCCCGAGACGGCCCACGAGGGCCCCAAGGCTGCCGCAGGGCGGCCCCAGAAGGCGCTCGCGGGGCCCCCAGAGGCTCCCAGGAGAGACCCTCGCGAGGGCCACGCCTCTCCACCTCTCCCCCTATCCTTCTCCTCGATCCTTCTCCCCCGTCCTCCCTGCGGCGTCTTTCCCCCGCCCTCTCCTCCCCCACGCTCCCCCGCCCCTCTGCCAGAGCGGCTCGCCCCCCTGGGGGCGCAAGGCTGGACTCTCCCTGGCTGGGCGTCGAGATGCCCTTGGGCGTGCTGCACTTGGCGAACGGACGCGTTGCGGCCGGCGGAGAGGGAGGGGAGGATCAGCGGAGGATAGGATGGCGATACCCCTACCCTTTTCTCGTCACCTCGGCTGGATTCGCCTCGGAATCCCCCTACCTTTCTCTCGCCACCTCGGCTGGACTCGCCTCGGAATCCTGGTCAGAACGCACCCCATGAGAGCTTCGTGGAGCAGCGGTGTGGAGTTCTCCTTCTTTCCCCAGAGGGCGGCCGACGGGGGCGGCCCATGGTGGTGGGGGCCAGGGGAGCGGCGAGCTTGTGCCGATGCGGGCGGGGCAGGGTGCCCCTCGGGGGTAAGGTGAGGGTCACGGCGGCAACGTTTGCGGCGTTCCAGGGAGGGCCTCTTCCTCCACCTCCTCCTCCACCTCCTCCTCCTCCTCCTCTTCCTCCTCCCCCGTTTCCTCCTCCGTTTCCTCCTTCGTTTCCTCCTCCTCCTCTTCCTCCTCCTCCTCCTCCGCCTCCGCCTCCGCCTCCTCCTCCTCCTCCTCCTCCTCCTCCTCTCATCCTCTCCTCCCTCCCCTCCCTCCTCCTCCTCCTTCTCTCCTCTTCTCCTCCTCCCTCCTCCTCCTCCTCCTCCTCCTCCTCTCCTCCCTTTCCTCCTCCTCCTCCTCCTCCTCCTCCTTCCTCCTCCTCCTCCTCTCCCTCCTCCTCCTCCTCCTCCTCCTCCTCCCTCCCCTCCTCCTCCTCTTCTTCCTCCTCCTCCTCTATCATCTCATCATCATCATCATCATCATCATCATCATCATCATCATCATCATCATCATCATCATCATCATCATCATCATCATCATCATCATCATCATCATCATCATCATTATCATTGTCATTATCATTATCATTATCATTATCATTATCCGTTTCATCATCATCATCATCATCATCATCATCATCATCAGCATCATCATCATCATCATCATCATCATCCTTATCATCATCATCATCATCATCATCATCATCATCATCATCAGCAGCAGCAGCATCATCATCATCATCAGCGTCGTCGTCATCATCATCATCATCATCATCGTCATCGTCATCGTCAGCGTCAGCATCATCCTCATCCTCATCCTCATCCTCATCCTCATCCTCACCCTCACCCTCATCCTCATCCTCATCCTCCTCATCCTTATCCTCATCATCATCATCATCATCCTCATCATCATCATCATCGTCATCATCATCATCATCATCATCATTATCATTATCATCATCATCATCATCATCATCATCATCATCAGCATCAGCATCATCATCATCATCATCATCATCATCATCATCATCATCATCATCATCATCATCATCATCATCATCATCATCCGCCTCCTCCACCTCCTCCGTTTCCTCATCCCATGCTCCTCCTTGTTCTCCTCCTTCTCCTCCTCCTTCTGCTCATCCCAGGCTCCTCCTCCTCCTCCTCCTCCTCCTCCTCCTCCTTCGCCTCCAGAGAGGGCCTCACCTTCGGCGCATATCGCCTTCGGCAAGCTGGCGGGAGGCCAGCGGAAGCTGGCGGCAGGAAAGCGAAGGGCCAACAAGTTTGGATCCACGGCTTCCGGAATCAACCAGGGGAGAAGGGCTCGGACGGCCTATTGTGAACAGTGGGAAACCAACCCCAGGCCCCACAACAGTGGATGTTACGTGTGAACGTTTTGCAAGGATGGCGAATGTGCGTAAGTGTAGGCGCCTCTTTAGCGAGGGCATTGCCAGCTGCGTCAGGGGGGGGTCCCGCGCGCGCGGTCTAGTTGGTCGAAAGCTTCTCATGTGGGAGGAGAGGGAGGAGGAGACGGAGGAGGAGGAGGAGGAGGAGGAGGAGGAGGAGGAGGAGGTTGGGAGGAAGAGGAGGAGGAGGAGGAGAGGAGGAGGAGGAGGAGGAGGAGGAGGAAGGGGGGAGGAGGAGGAGGGAGGAGGAGGAGGAGGAGGAGGAGGAGGAGGAGGAGAAGAAGGTGGAGGAGGAGGAGGAGAAGGTGGAGGAGGAGGAGAGGTGGAGGACGAGGAGGAGGAGAAGGAGGAGGAGGAGGAGGAGAAGGAGGAGGAGGAGGAGGAGGAGGAGGAGGAGGAGGCCCCCTCTGGAACGCCGCAAACGTTGCCGCCAACACGGCGGGGGGCGGCTTTCGTGCGTTCACACTGTTTATCCCTGACCCGGTGGCCTCCCGGGAGCCTCCCGGTCCTCTTGGGGCAAAAACATCGAGGCGGAGGTTCTTCATAGTCGTTGTTCGGCCTCGAGGGGCCCTCGCCGGGCCTCGGGCCGTCGAACAACGGCTCGGGACGAGGAGCCGTCCCGGGGGAGTGGTCGGGAGGTCTGGGGCCCGCGTCTCGAAGAGATCGAGACGTCGGGTGCGTAGGTATATCTCCATCAGCCCATCCGGCGGCGATTCCCAGGCGAGTGGCCTCGAGAAGGGGAATGCAGAAGCATGCAGGGCGCGACCCCACAGGCTGAAAAAGTCCAACCCTCCCGCGATACCCCCAGCCACTGAAGACTCCCACGAGCTTGCGGTGGCAACCCTGGCCGGGGCCGAGAAACGTTCCCATGCCCGTCCAAATTCTCCCAGTGACCGCTCACTTCCAACATGCCCCCGGGCCCCGCGCCAACGTTCACGCGTTCTAATGGCCATCAAGCCTCCTGCACCTCGAAACTCGCCCGTCACGTTCTTCGAAGGCGCTTGTCCTTAGTGGTCGGTGGATCAGATCAAAGAAAATTAGGCCACATGTCCACTTGCAGATAAGTGCACACGCGAAGTGCTCATGTCTTCACCGACAGCCCCTCACAGGCTGGTTCGTCGAAGAGGAGGACGAGGCGGCGATGTTGCCCCTTCTAACAGGGGGGTACGCGAACACCGATGGACCTGCAGCTGCATCGGAGTAGAGCCAGCACGAGGCATGAGCACGAATTGCGGTACAGTTCGAGCTCTCCTCATGCACCCTTGCTGTGCCACGCAGGAAGGCCCTCACGCACAGACCAGTTCCTCGTTGCTCCCAAGAGGCGCGCTCGGAAGGGCGACAGGGAAGGAGGAGGGGGAACTGGCGGCAGCGGCGGCCCTCGAGACTCGAGCCTGGCGTCTCGTCTCCCCTTTCCCTCCTCGATAGTCTTCCCCCCCGTTTGGTCTGCTTATGTGCAGGGCCTCACGCAGGAAGCTCGCTCGCCGTCGCCGTCTCCACTTTCCATCCAACACCTGGTCGGCCCTCCCCTATGCAGGCTGCGCATGCGGGCGTGCGTGGGCTTGGCGCCACATCGAGCAGCGTGTCCCCCGGACCGCTGCCGATGCTGCCATAGAACGCCTGGGGTCGTGCCCGCGAGGGGCAGTCTCTGGGCCCAGGCACTCCTCCTCCTCCTCCTCGTCCTCCTCCTCCTCCACCACCTCCTCCACCACCTCCTGCTCCTTCTCCTCCTCCTCCTCCTCCTCCTCCTCCTCCTCCTCCTCCTCCTCCTCCCGTCAGCAAGACACAGGCCAGGGTGATGGAGCCGTCCCAGGGAAGTGATCGAACACTCTACAGGGGCTGGCGACTCGAACGTGGCAGTCTGCGCGGGGTCCAGATCGGGTTCGGTCTGAACGCCAGGAGCCCCCGACATCCCCAAGAAGCTGAAGTTCTTGCAGCGCTTGACCTCTAGCATCGAACCCGAGCCAACTGGCATTATCGTGTTCTGCAACAATGTCGAGCGCGTGCGGAAGGCGTTGCGGCGTTTGCTCACGTCTCCATCGCACACTCGAGTTGTTCGGCCTCTTCAATGCTACAGCCAGACGTGCCATGATTGAACGTAGCATGGTAATAGTGTGCACCGGTGAACGTTGATTTCGTCATGCTGCATGGTCATGATCGCAAGCTTTGCCTCGTTTACCAACCGGTGGTGTTGGGTCATCGTTGGGAAGAGACAGCGCCGCGCTCCAACTCAACTTACTTCCTCCTCTTCCTCATTATTTCCCTGCCCTCCGCATGCTCGGCACATCCCTCACACGCTTCGTAGCCTAAGTATCACAGGGAGCTCTACCGAAGGCTCCTGTGGCAGGTTTCGCATGCATCCCTTCGCCGCACACCCCTCACACGTTCCGTTGCCCCACAGGGAGAGCCACCGAAAGCTCTTGTGGCAGAGCTCACATGCGTCCACCCGCCGATTTCGCTACACCCGTTTCACGCTTCGTGGTCCACCGACTGTTCTTTGTGGCAGGGCTTGCATGCGTCACCCCGACCACTGCGGCGCACCCTGAACACGTTTCCCCACGTTTAGCTCCACGACAAATTTTTGTGACCCCCGATTATTTCTGCGCACCCCTCACGCTTCGCGGCCCCACAAGGAGCTCCACCGAAGGCTTTTCTGGCAGGGCTCGCATGCATCCCCCGACCAGTCCGGCATCCCCCTCTTACGTTTCGTAGCACAGGGAGTTCCTCCGAAAGTTCTTGTGGCAGGCTTCGCATGCGTCCTCCACCCATGTCGGCGTACCTCTCACACGTTTCGTGGCCCTACAAGGAGCTCGACCAAAGGCCACAGTGGCAGGGTTCGCATGCGCCCCCCCGCCCATTTTGGTGCACCCCTTACACGTTTCGTGGCCCTACTGGAAGGCTCTTGTGGCAGGGTTCGCATACGTCCCCCCGCCCCTGTCGGCACACCCGTTACACTTTTTGTGTCCCCGCAGGGAGCTCCACCCGAGACTCTGGCAGGTTTCGCATGCGCCCCTCGGACCACTTCGGCACACCCCTCAGATGTTGCGTGGTCTCACAGGAAGCTCCACCGAATGCTCCTGTATCAGGATTCGCGTGCGTCCCCCCCCGTCCATGTCGGCACACCCCTCACACGCCTCGTCGCCCGGAGCTTCACTGGAGGCTCTGAATGCAGGGTTCACGTGGCAGGGGTCGCATGCGTCCCCCCGCCCATTGCGGCGCACCCCTCACACGCTTCGTGGCCCCACAGGGCATGCGTCCCCCCCACCTTTTCGGCGCACCCCTCACACGTTGCGTGGCCCCACGGGGAGCTCTTCCGAAGGCTCCTGAGGCAGGGTTTGCATGTGTCTCCCCCACCACTTCGGCGTACCCCTCACACATTGCGTGGCCCCACGGGGAGCTCCGAAGGCTCCTGAGGCTGGTTTTGCATGCGTCTCCCCCACCACTTCGGTGCATTCCTCACACGCTCGTGGCCCCACGGGGAGCTCCCCCAGGGCCCCAGTGGCAGGGTTCGCATGCGCCCCCCTACCACTTAGGCGCACCCCGCACACGTTTCGTGGCCCCACAGGATGGCAGGGTTCGGGTGCGTCTCCCAGCCCATGTCGGCACACCCCCCTCGCACGCCTCGAGGCCCCACGGGGAGCTTCTCTCCGAAGGCTCCCGTGGTAGGGTTTACACGCGCCTCCCCGCCTATGTCGGCACACCCGTCACACGCTCCGTGGCTCACAGGAAGCACCGCCGAAGGCTGTTGCGGCAGGGTTCCCATGCGTGCCCCGCCCATTATGGCGCACCACTTACGCGCTTCGTGGCCCCACAAGGAGCCCTTCCCTTCCTTCGTCCCACATGCCTCGCAGCACTCACACTTTCACAATTCTCATTGGTCATTCGCAGTGATCATCTCCCTTCCCTTCGCCCCTCCTCTTCCATTCCTCCCCCTATCGTGCTCTAGTTTATACATTCGTCTCCTCGGTGTGTCATGCACACTATGTGTATACGTGTGTGAAGAAATATCGAAGACGCCTACGAGGGGGAGGAGGAATAAGAGGCCTCTTGATGCCCTCTTGGAGCCTCCTGGGGCCTTCCTGGAAGCTGGGGGCCTCTGACGGGCCTCTTGGGGGCCTCCTGGGGCCTCTTGGAGGCCTCCCGACGCCTCTTGGTGGATCCTTAGGGGACCCTTGGGGGCCTTTAGGGGACCTCTTGGCCTTCAAAGGCCGTCTTGGGGCCCTCTCTGGGAAGTCGTGGATTTGTCTTTGGGCGCTTTAGGGCCGTCTTGGAGGTCTCTGGGGCCGTCTTGGGACCATCTTGGGGGCCTCTTTGGCAGTCTTGGGCCTTGGCTGTCTTGCGGAGCCTCTTGGGCGTTCTTGCGGGCCCATTGGGCCAGCCGTCTTCGAGCGTCGGAAGCCCGAAAACGCGAGAACTCCAAAACACATGTTTGGCCTTTCGGAGGTTCTGTTGGATGCCTCTTGATGGCCTCGGCCTCTTGGACTGTTCATCTCAGGCCGTCTTGGATGCATTTTGGGCCGTCTTGGAAACATAGTGCGGCCGCATTGGGCGTTTTTGATGCCATCTTCGCCGTCTTTGAAGCCATCTTGGCCGTCTTGGAGGCAGTCTTGGAGCCATGTGAAGCGGAGAAATCCTTGCCGACCAGGTCCTGCGTGGCTTTCCGCGCGGCCGGCGGGTTGGGCCGAGACCCCATTGGGAATCCCCCACAAGGACCATAACATCTACCTGACGTCTTGCACGCCGTGCACCACTGCGGCAAGACTAGAGGGGGCGGCGGATCTAGAGGCATTCCGCCGATGGGGCGGCGGCGCGACGTCCGGGCTTTTTGAGGGGGGCTCGCCCGGGGGGCCCCTTGGGCACTGCTTGGAAGGCTCGGGGGCAGGAGGGGAAAGAACACACAAACACAATGAATCGTCGATTTCCCAGAAAATATGAGGAAATATGGGAAGTGGGGGGAAGACAAAAACCCCGAAAATATGGGGAATTATTTTATTTGTGTGTTTTTTTTTGTGTGCCCCAGGGCCCCTTCATTTTTGTGGGGGCTCGCCCTAGGGGGCCCCTTGGGCACTTCTTGGAAGGCTCGGGGGCAGGCTGGGGGCCGGGCTTTGGGTCTGCAGGGGCCGTCTTGAGCGTGGAACGCTGCGACTAACACGGGCCTGTCCCCCTACAGGAGGAACTATGGAGAACAGTCAAGACATAGCTTGGGGGCGATTGTTCTACCATGTTCGGTACATGTTTGAATGTGCTCTGAGCATTTCCAAACCATCCTGTGGTGTTGGGTCCTGGTTTTTAAGAACGCTCCGCGTCTCCTTCCTTCCTCTCCTCTCCTCCTCCCCCTCCTCCCTCCTCCCGTCACCCCCTTCACTTTGGCACACCCCTCACACGCTTCGTGGTCACATAGGCACTTCACCGAAGGCCCCAGTGGCTGCGCTCGCATGCGCCCACCACGCCCATTGTTTGCACCATGGGAGGTCGGAAGGTGGCAGGCCTTCTCAGAAGGCGGCGGGGCTTCTCAGAAGCCCTCCAGCCATTTAGAAGCTTCCCCTGCCTTCGCCGAAGACACATAGCACTTCTCAGAAGGCAGGAGGGCTTCTGAGAAGCCCCGCCGCCCTCTTAGAAGGCATGCCCCGTTCTGATTTCCCCCAAAGCTCGCCCCCAAATCGAAGTCATGTGAAGGCCCATCTTGTGGCAACCACGAGGCCCGACGCGCGCGTTGGCCCGCGTTCTTGGGGCGCCCTTTGGGAGCGCGTTGCGCGCTCCTCGGGTCGCTCCTGGCGCGTGTTTCTGCTCGTTCCTCGGCCCCAGCTGAGTCCAGACGCCCCCATATCCCCCCAGAGCCAGCCTCAACACGAGGGTACGCCGGCACGCCCGAAGAGGACCTAATTTTCCTCGTTCCCTTCCTGCTCCTCCTCCTCCTACTCCTGCTCCTCCTTCCCCTCGTCCTTCTCCTCCTACTACTCCTTCTCGTCCTCCTTCTCCTCCTCCTCCTCCTCTCCTCTCCCTCGACGTTGTGCGCGTCTGTTCCGCACGCTGGGTGAGGAAGTAAACGGCTCCCAATTGCAATCCCCTGGCCGCACTCGTGCGTATTCTATCCAGGCTTGAGATGTGTGCGTGGCGGCATTCGCATTTTGCCGCCAGCTGATGCAACGTTCTTAGGTTGGCGTGTCCCTCGCCTGAATTCCTCGCCCGGGCCTTAAGTTGGCGTGTCCCTCTATCGGACAATTTTTTTCCAAAATCGTAAAGAAAGAGTCGGGGCGACGATTTTCCTGTTTTATTCCCATCGTTTTGAATGCTTGTGATTACTTTGAAATTTCAGAATCCGCCTGTAGGAGGACATGCCCGACCCAGCCCGAGCCATTGCCCGCGCGACCTGCATTTCTCATCAGACATGCCCGTGGTCCGCTGGGCCGGCGAAGTCCGACGTGGACGTTGCAGGGTCTTGCATCCTCACTGCGCGTGCTTATGCAAGGGTGTTGGCTGTGTAGGAACACCCGGCAATGTGCTGAACATCGGACACTGGAACCGATACATGACCAGTGGCGGGCCGTTTTTCAATCCCAGGACTTTTTGACGGTCGGGGACGACGTCCGGGTGGTGTGGTGCATACTTGTTCCCCGTTTCCCCAGGGAAATAACGAACAAATTATACACCAGGATTCCGTGTACACCAGGATCCGGTTTTTGTGAAGGTTTCAGCGCAGGGCCGGAAAAGCGTTGGTGTATAGAGTTCGGTTCCTTATGGCCGTATCCTCGGAATATGCACGGCCACAGGCACCTCTCGTTTTTGTTAGGGTGTTTTTGTTGTCGTTTTGCCACATACATAGGCACGCGCGATGCTTGAGTTTTGTGAAAACTCTTGGTGATGGCGCGGCACCGCATCGAACGTACCCCTGCGTCCTCCTCCCCCCGTCCCATCCTCACCAAGTGCTTCTGGCCGTGTGCCGCTGGCGTGCTTCGCATTGACCTTCCACCATCACGGTGGACTTCCGAATCAGCATGTATCTGCGTGTACATGGGTGCGCACGGATGCGTGTGCAGGCATACGTGTGGAGCGCTCCTGAAAAAGCTTCGTGTCCGTGACATCGAGCAGTTTATGTTCCCGCCTCGGCGGAAGGCTGGAGGGAACCAGCGGAAGTGAAGCGAGGGCGGCCTCGCCGGCGGCAGCCAGCCGCAGCTGGCGGAGACAAAAGCTACACGCCCAGGGGATGACACTTTTTTGGTCTCCACGGTTTCCGGAACCCGCCATCTGTTAGCGGTGTTGTCGCACGTTTTGCCCAGGAGGGGCCTGCATTGCCCCCCCGTTTCCCCGGCAGGTCTTGCAGGAGCTCAGGCGCATGGGCATCCCGTCGCAGGCGGAGGGGGGAGCTGCATGAACGGGGAGGGCTTGCCTTGTCCGCGTCGAGGAAGCGCCAACCTAGGTCGAGGTGCGTGGCTTATCGACGGGTCCCGCCTCCGGATGAAGTTGACGCGCTCCGTCGCCGAATGAGGCGGCATTGGCTCCAAGTCTCGGGGGGCATTTCCCCGAAACCGTGGATCTGACGTTAATTCGGGCGTGTCCCTCTACAGGAGGAATCTTCAAAAATAATCAAAAATAGTACGGGGATTATTTTTGAAGTATTTTTTAGCACTGTTGGATTTTTGCTTAAATATAAAAAACATCCGCATGTCGGGGGACACGCCCGACCTACGGGTATTTTCCCCGATCCGTGGATCTGGCGCACACGCGCCAGGTCCACGGATCCCTGGTCCATGTTAGCGAGCGCCGGATCCTGGTGGAGGAGGAGGAGGAGGAGGATGGAGGAGGAGGAGGAGGAGGAGGAGGAGGAGGAGGTGTCTATCCTCCTGCTCCTCTGTCTTCTGCCTGTCTGCCTCGGCGCGGCCGTCCGCACGGCATCGCAGCGGGCCGCCGCGGGCTCGAGAGGCAGGTCTCTCCCCAACGCGAGTTGGGCGTCTCGTGTGTTAGTATTTTCACCGCTCGATCAGGAGACTTGAAGTTCCAAGCGGTTTGGGGGGGAAGAGGGGCGCCGCGCATTTCCGGCATTGTGCCGAAGGGTTTGCCCCAAACGAGGTTGCGCCGTCCGTCGCGGGATGAGTCGCTGGTATGTGGGCGGCGCCTGGAATGGGGAAGCGTCGAGCGGGTTGTGCCTGGGGGACCCGCGCGCCCCTCATTTCCCGCTGAAGCGTAGTCGCACGGCCTGGTACATGTGTTAAGTTTGCGAGGTGGCTTAGCAATATCATCTAAAAAATAAAACAAAGATGAAGTTCCAAGCGGTTGCCCAGACGGATGCAGGGCGAGTCGTTTCCAGAATCCAGTTCTCGCCTCAACTGCCATTCCTTATTCGCGCTCAACGACCCCGATTGTGACAAGGATCGAGGGCGAATTGTTTCCAGAGCGTGGTTCTCGCCATCGTGCCGCGCTCATTCGTTTGAACGAGTTCCCCCAGCTGCTCCATATTGCAGTCGCTGGAGACTTACAAGGAATTGTGACAAGGCGCTTGCACACCTTATTACATATATTTTATACATCTGCACACTGGCGCAGCAATTGCAGGGTCAAAGTGCGGCTCATTTTCAGGATGGGTTCTCGTTTGATATCATGCCGGCTTTTCTATCAGCCGTTAAGTTTGTGCAGCAGTTTGACGGATAGAGGGCGGCGCTCTGTCTGAAAGTAGTGTGGGATTGTCGAACACAAGTGATCTTGCCTCGAAGGATGGCGGTGGCCCCCGTCTCACGAGGGGATCCTCGCCCAGCTGGCAGGCACGTGCGCTGTGCTCGTGCTTCGAGGGGGCGCAGAGGCAAATTCTAGACGCCTCGCGTAACTCCACCAGCTTCTGGCCGTATTTTAGGCCCCATTTTTTCAGCCCACGCTGGAGGAAAATCCTTCCATGCGTTCCGAGCAGCGCCGCGCGAGGGAAGAGCTCTGCGAGGCTCCTGGCGGAAGAGCTCTGGACGCACCCCCATCTGGAGGTCCCACGGTCGCCTCTTGGGGCCCTCTTGGGGCGCTCTTGGGGCCGTCTCGGGTTCCTCTTGGGGCCCTCTTTTGGCCCTCTTGGAGCCATCTTTGAGGCCTCGGGGGCACATCGGAAGCGAAAGGGCGAGAGAGCTGTAATAGTTCGTTTTCCGAATGTGTTGGGCTGATTTGGGCCTTGGGGTTCTCCGTGGCCACTTGGAGTCATCTTTGGGCCATCATGTGGTCTCTTGGAGAAATGTCGTGGACCAACTCTGACCACTTTGCGGCATCTTGGAGGCCATCTTAAAGAGTCTGGGGCCACCTTGGAGGCCCCAAGGGCCAAAAGTTTCCGAAGGATGCGACAAGCCCAAATCTGTCAACACCCCTGTGTTGTTTCGATGTTCCCCGAACAGTGCTTGCAATTTGAGGTTCTTGTTCCTGGTCTGAAGAACTGGGCCTGTGTGCCGTTCTAGCGGCTTTGTGCTGGCCGTCGCCGCCCCGTTGCCGCCTCGTCGCCGCCCGTCGCTTGGGCTTGTGTGTCGGTCCGGCGGCTCCGTGCAGGCCGTCGCCGCCCCATCGCCGCCTCATCGCGGCCCGTCGCCGTCGTTGAATTGCACCACATAAGCTGCACGACCAAAAAACGCCTGCGGCGCGCTTTTTGACCGCTCACGACATCGATCGCACACCACATACAACACATATTGCACGATCTAGATTGCACAGCGTAGATTGCACAACCTGACATATGCCACCACATAGATTGATCGCACGACATCGACTGCCCATCATTGATTCTCTGGCTCAAAAAAGACAATAGATTCTACCCCCTCCCCCCCCAGCGTTATCCCCCCTATCGGGTATGTAAATCATATGTGATTATGACCACATGTCCATCCTAAATGTGAATTGACACTAACCCGGTGGGGCCTGTATCGACCCCCTTGCAGTTCCTTTATAAACAAAAAAAACTATACGCGGGGACAGCTATTGCTCTAACGTAGGACTTTTCACGAATCCCTTGCAACAAATTGCACGAAGTGCACACGCGCGCGTCGTCGCGCGCGCATGCCGAAATCTTTCAAAAACCCTCGGAATCGAGTTTCCAAAACACCTACAAAAACACAGGGTTTCGCAACACTGATTCGCTAAAAGAGCTTCCGCGCGAGTTCTTGCTAAATCTTAAGAAGCCCTAGGTTTTTTTCCAGATTTTCACAACATGCTATCAAACGGGCTTCGCGCGCGCATGTCGAAATCTGTCGAACGCCCTTGCGCGTGTGCCGTCGCGAGAATCCTTGGCAAAAACCGGGACGAAGTGCAGACGCTCGCGTCGTCGCGCGCGTATGCCGAAAACCTTCAAAACCCATCGGTTTCGGAAGGAATTTGAAATCGTGTGTCCAAAAAACCTACAAACACAAGGTTTCGCAACACGGATTTTCAACAAAAGCGTGCGCGCGCGCTCTTGCGTCGTCGTCGTCGTCGTCGTCGTCGCCGTCCTCCCTCCTCCCGCGTCGTCGTCGTCGTCGTCGCCTACGTCGTCCTCTCTCTTTCCTCATGTTCGTCGTCGTCGTCCTCGTTGGCGTCGTGGTCGTTTCCGTCGTCGTTGTCGGCGTGGTCGTCCTTACTCCTCCTCCCTCGTCGTCGTCGTCGTCCGTCGTCGGCGTCTCGTCGTCGTCCCTCCTATTTCCGTCGTCCGTCGTCGTCGTCGTCGTCCTTCCCTCCTCCCTCGTCGTTGTCGTCGTCGGCGTCGTCGTCCTTCCTCCTTCTTCGTCGTTCGCGTCGTCGCCGTCCTCCCTCCTCCCTCGTCGTTGTCGTCGTTGTCGTCGTTGTCGCCGTCGTCGTCCTTCCTCCTCCCTCGTCGTCGTCTTCATTGGCGACGTCGTCGTCGTCGTCTTCGTCGGCGTCGGCGTCGTTGTCGTCGTCGTCGAAGTCGTCGGAGACGTCGTCGGTGTCGTCGTAGTCGTTGTCGTCGGTGTCGTCGTAGTCGGTCTTGAGAGGTTTTGCAAACCAAGTTGCGGGTGGGTGGGTGAGATGTTTGCAAGAGCGTGGGATGTGTCAAATCATGGGTAAAAAACAATTGCAACACATCGATGGCACCGCACAGACTGCACCGATAGTTTGCGCAAGAGACATCAAACCGCTCATTTTGCACCACGTGGAGTGCACAACAGATGCCGCACCACGTAGAGTGCACAACATCTGTTGTTCCACATAGGTTGTACCACATACATTCTACCACAGAGTGCACACCATTTGTGGAACCACACATAGTTTGACCTTTCTACTGCACCACATAGCTTGTACAACATATATTAAATCTCAACGCTTGCACTACATGGATTGCACAACCTGTACCGCACCACATTGAGTTCACAGCATACATGGCACCACATATATTGCACCACACTTCCTTGCATACCATATATTGCTAGAAGCACTCTTTCGGGGGTCCACGCTGGCTAACATGTTTATATCAAATAGGGGGTACTCGCTTAGCGTCCCCCTCTAGCCCCCACAAGTCGCCTCTTGGGGCGCTCCTCGGCCGTCTCGGAGCTGTCTTGGGGCCATCTTGGGCCATTATTTGGGCCCTCTTGGGCACTTCTGTGAGTCATAGTGAGGCTTCGGAAAGCAATCGGAAGTGAAAGGTCGAGAGGGCTACACTCATCGGTTGTGCTTAGATGTTTGACGGATGTTTATCTCTTGGGAGCGTTTTGGGGAGGCCCCCAGCCCACTTCGACCCGTCTTGGATTATCTTCGGGTCTCTCGAAACATGTTGGAAGCCATCTTGAGCGATCTTGCACTATCTTGGGCCATCTTGAAGATCATTTTTGGATCTGAGAGGCCCTCTTTGAGCCATCTTGAGCCCAACCCCCTCTCTGACAACCTCGCTGCCCCCTCCCTCCAGGTCCAGGGGTAGGGGGGAGGGGGGAGGGGCAAACCGTTCCCCGAAGGGGAAGAATAGGCTTGGAAGAGGAAACGCCCGAAACCACTCATGCCCTAAAGGGATGGTGGGATTCATGCGTGCCAGGATTTCTGAGGAGGGGACGTGGGACTGAAGGGTGTGCTGCGTGATCGTCCATGCACCATTGGATTTCACTGCCCATTCTACCCCATCATGGTCCTCCTCCCTCCTCGCGCTGGTCCCTCCAGCGTATCCCCATTTCCCTACTCTGGCCCCCCCTCATTCTTGTCTGCACCTGTCCTGCTCCTCCCCCTCTTTTTTCCTTCTTTCCCTCTCCTCGTCGTTTCTCCCTCCTCCTCATGTGCCTCCTCCTCCTCCTCGTCCCTCCTGCTGCTGCTGCTGCTCCGACGACGACGACGACGAAGACGACGCCGCAGGCGACGAGGACGACAACGACGCCGCAGGCGACGACGGCGACGACGCTGCCGAGGAAGACGACGCCGATGCCGCGAAGGGGGCGACGCCGATGCCGCGAAGGGGGTGACGCCGATGCCGCGAAGGGGGCGACGCCGGGCCTCTGCGCCGCTGGCCGAATGCCACCCGAGGGCTCCTCGGAGGGCCGTCGCGGAGGCCGTCGCAGAGGCCGCCGCGGAGGCCGCCCTTCGGCGGCCGCCGATGGGGCCTCCGAAGAGCGGCCGGCGCCCGCCGAGGGGGGGATTCGGAAAGGGGGGCTTACGAAATCTGCTGCATGCAGCTGGTTTCGGCCTCACCGATGGGGCATTCCTCGATACATGGCCGGCTCTCGTGCCGGGAGGCGCCGGGAAAATCAGCTATCCGTGAGCTGATTCTCCCCCCCCCCTTTGATATCCCCCCTTTCGCCCGACCCGAGATGGGGCGCCGAGATTCGAGGAGGAAAAAGCGGCACAGACAAGCTCTGGCGCTCCGTGCGGATTTCTTGGAGCCGCGGTGGGCCCCCCTGGCGGCGCCGCGCCTGGCGCGCTCGGCGCGCCCGGGGGGGGGGGGCTCCAGCGCGGATCCGAGGAACCCGCGCGGACCGTCGAAAGTTCGTGTGTCTGCCGTTGTTGGTTCCTCCAGGGGCGCCGAGACACGCCGAAGGCGACGTCCTCGTCGCGCAAGGGATCCATGGGCATGTCGTGGCTCGGGGAAAGCAAGGCAACGGGGGAGGAGTACACTGATGATGTGGTGCGTGCGATGCGCGGTGCACTGGCGCGCGTTGCACGTGGCGGCGTCTCGTGCTGTGCCTGTTGAGACGTCGGGGGCGAGGGAGCGCCCAGAGGCGGGGGGGGGCGGCGCAGGCGCTGACTGGCAACCGCAGCGCGGCGGAGCGCGTGGACGCCATCAAGAACTTGGGCAAAGGCGCGCGCCAAGGGGGGGGATGGGGGGGGGTCGGGCAGGTGCGAGGTGAGGGTACGAGGCGCTCCAGGGCGCTCCGAAGCCTGCTCGGAGCGGTTGGGAGGGCTCCACAGCGCTTTTTGCGGCGGCCGCGGCGCCCGAGGCACCAGTGGGACCCTCCAGCACGCGCGTGCTCATCCTCATCCCGCCTTCGTCTTGGGTTCAGTCGGGCATGCCCCCCCACAGGAGGAAGATTCAAACAATGGTCAAAAAATAGCCTGGGGACGAGTGTTTGACTTTTTTGGGGCTATTTGGTTTTGTTTGTTGTTAGTTTCAGCTTCTCGTCCAAAATCCGCCTGTGGGAGGAACCCGACCTTCGTCTTGGGCTGGCGCGCCAAGGGGGGCCGCGGCGGGGCCGCGGGCGCGCCTCGAGGGGCCCGTGCGGCCCCCCTTGCCCGGGGGGGGGGGCTCCGACGCGCGCCGCGGAGGTGCCGCGCGTGGGCTCGCGACTCAACGCAAGTCGGGCGCGTCCCTCTACAGTGCCGTTTCTAATACATGCTCCGCGTGCGGATCATGTATTAAAAATGTAGGGATTTTGTATTAAGAACAACGATGAGTTCATGCATACATGTATTCATGCATTAATCATGTATTGAACATCCTATATTTTGAAAAATCCTCTGTATTAAAAACTGCCCTGTACAGGACGAATGTTCAAGAATAGTCGAGCACAGTCAAAAAATAGCCTGGGGACGAGGTTTCTATGCTTTTTGCTGTTTTCGGAGCATGTCTTGACAATTTTTCAACTTTCGCCCAACCTCCGCCTCGCCTGTAGGAGGACATGCCCGACCTGACCCGAGGGGCTCCGACCCCCGCCTCGGAGGTGCCGCACGCGGGACAGGCATGGGCCGCGGGAGACGCCGGGAGCCCACGCGGTTGGAAGGAGCCGCTCCTGGCCCTCGCCCCCCGGGCAGAACTTGCCAGGGCCTGGCAGACCCACACTGTACAGTCAAAAATCCGAATAAGGACGCGCGACTTTGCTCAGGGTACCCTTGCGTCCTTGCTCGTCCTTGCTCTTGCGTTCTCGAGGTTTTCGTCGTCCGCCGCCCCAAAAATCCCAACCTCGGCCTCCAAGGGGTCTTGCGTCCTTACCGCGCGTCCTTATTAGGGTTTTTGACTGTAGCAAGCCGCCCCTGCCCTATTTGTGGAGTCCCCCCCTCCGGGGTAGGGTTGTCCGCCGCCCGGCCGTCGGGGACTCCCATACGGGGTGGTGACCACACCGTGTGGTGAGTCGGTGGAAATTCGGGGTCACCGCACGGTTCTGGGACGTGGGTCGTTCTCCGAGGATGTCTCGGGCGACTGGGGCCTCTGGGGTCCCAAGACCGTGCGGTGACGGACCGTGCGGTGAGGTCTCTTGGGGCTCCGAGGTCACCGCACGGTCTGTCACCACACGGTTTTGGGATCCCCGAGGTCGGTCCGGCTGCGTCGCGGTCGGGCGCGTTTGGTCGCTTCGGTCGGTTACTGTGTCGCGGCTGCTGTGTTCCAAGCTGCCTGCGCCCAGTCGGCTCCCGCCTCGTGCTCGTCGGGTCTTCGGCGGCGCCGTCGCCGTGGGCCGCCCTGCCTGGGGAACTCTTCTGTCTGCAGGGGCCGCCACGAGGGCGCGAAGCTGCTCGCGGCTCGCGCTTCGCGAGTCCTCGTCCTCCTCCTTCTCCTCGTCCTCCTCCTCCTCCTCCTCTTCCTCCTCTTCCTCCTCCTCCTCCTCCTCCTCCTCCTCCTCCTCCTCCACCCTCCTCCTCCCCCTCCTCGCTCCGGGGGGGGGGGCGTCGGCGCGAGAGCGCGAGGTTACTCGCACCTCGCGCGGCGCGGGGCGCGGCAGCACAGCTGCCCTGAGGCGGTCCGACCCGTTTAGCCCGAGGCGTCCTCGCAGGTCTGGGCTCCGACACCGCGCGCGAGGTGGTCGGGTGCGTTTTGCCTGGGACGTCCTCGCAGGGCGCGAGCTAAACAGTGTTTTGGGGGATTTCGTGGGCCATCTTCTTTCTGACCCCGCTGCGCAGCAAGAGCGGAACGAAGGCAACACGGGGGAAAAAGCGGGAGTGAGAGGGACCCAGAACATCGTTTAGCTCGCGCCGTGCATCCTTGCAACTCTCTGGGCGCCGAGATGCCGGGCGAGCCGCGGGAGGGGGGGGGACGGACGCGCGCTTGCGTGGGTTGCCCCGCGCACTCCCGAGGGGGCCGCCGCGCGCGGGAAAGGGGTGCGCTCGGGAGGGGCGCGCCGGGGCCCTTCACACAGCAACGACTGTCGTCCACGGTCGCCACGGATCGTTGTTGGACGGCCCCGTGGCCCGCCACGGGCCCCCAGGAGGCCCAGCAGCTGCAGAAGCTCGCCGCAGTTGCTTCGAGGGCATCAGGAGGAGGCCCTTCACACAGCAACGACTGTCGTCCACGGTCGCCACGGATCGTTGTTGGACGGCCCCGTGGCCCGCCACGGGCCCCCAGGAGGCCCAGCAGCTGCAGAAGCTCGCCGCAGTTGCTTCGAGGGCATCGGAGCAGGAGAGGAGGGAGGAGGAGGAGGAGGAGGAGGAGGAGGAGGAGGAGGAGAAGGGGAGGAACAGAGAGAGGTAGGAGGAGGAGAGAGGAGGAGGAGGAGAGGAGGAGGAGGAGGAGGAGGGAGAGGATGAGGAGGAGGAGGAGGAGGAAGGAGAGGAGGAGGAGCAGGCGGAGCAGGGGAGGAGGAGGAGAGAGGAGCAGGCGGAGCAGGCGGAGGAGGAGGAGGAGGAGGAGGAGGAGGAGGAGGAGGAGGAGCAGGCGGAGCAGGAGGAGGAGGAGGAGGAGGAGGAGGAGGAGGAGCAGGAGGAGGAGGAGGAGGAGGAGTGGCATGTGCTGTGAGGATGCTACGAAACTGCATGCGATAGGATGTGTAGACCAATCAGCCCCGTCCATCGTTGGTTGAAAGAGGTGGGTTCCGCCAGGCCGGCAGGAAGCGTGCGCAGCCACAGCCCCGGCGCCGCTTGAGAGGGCCCCATCCAGCCGCCAGGCGTCATAGAGGTTATCGTCTGCACCGACGTGGCTTCTCGAGGACTTGACTTCAAGGAGGACAGACCCTTTCGCCAGATGCGTTCTGGCTCCGCCCACCCCACTTTCTTCGATTCTCTCCTCGTCCTCCTTCCTCTGCTCGCTTCCGCGCCCCGCGCAGAGGGAGGATGAGGGAGGAGGAGGGGAGGAGGAGGCGGAGGAGGAGGAGGAGGAGGAGGAGGAGGAGAAGGGAGGAATAGAGAGATAGGAGGAGGAGGGGGAACAGGAGAAGGAAGGAGGAAGAGGAGGAGGAGGAGGAGTAATTAGGAGGAGGAGGAAGAAGAGGAGGAGGAGGAGGAGGAAGAGGAGGAGGAGGTGGAGGGGGGACGGGAGGAGGAGGACAAGGATCAGGGGAGGAGGGGAGGTGAGGGGGTGGAAGGCCAGTGTGAGGAAGGGGCCCCCCCATGCGGCACGGAAAAGGAGGGGACGTGGAGGCAGGAGGAGGAGGAGGAGGAGAAGGACAGAGTAGGAGGATGGAGTTCATTTGGCCAGGTCGAGCGAGTCGGAGGGCCCCGCCTACCCCCACCTTCCCTTCCACAGCATAAGAATCGGTTTGGGCTCGACTGGATATTTTGATTGGCACGCGCTCGCACCTCGCAAAGACGGAAGGAGCTCGCGCTCGGTCCCGCTTCCAACGACTTGGCGAAGAGAAAACTACGCGGGACGCGTAGGGGCGGGAGGTTTGCTGTTGCCTCGCGCGTCGCCTCTGCTTTTTTTCTCTCGCGTTTCCTCTGCCTAACTAGTCTCTGCGTAGCCCGCTTTGACCGGACTCGCCGCCGGCGCGCTCGCCCGCGGCCGCTGCGTAAAAAGCAGGGGCGGGAGCGACAAACCTGCCGACGGGCGCAGCGAAGACGAAGCACGCGCCGCGCCGACGCGGCACTGCCGACTGGAAGGCCCGTCGGGTCGCGATGGAAGGCCCCGCCGCTCGAGCCGAGGCACCGGCGACCGGAAACGGCAACAAAAACGGCTCCAGGATGGGAGCCGGAGCCCGAACCGGTCAAAACACGGCGAAACGGAACCGGTAACAAAAAAAAGCGGCGTCGGAAGCGGCGACAAAACGGCAGAACGGAACGGGTAACAAAAACGGCCCTGTCGTTTCTAGGGCCCACGAAGGTCTATCCCTCGCGGTTCTGCCTCGGGGGGCCGAGCAGGGGGCAGTGGCCCCTCCTTGCTCGCCGCCGAGGGCGTCGGTTGCGCTGCCGCTCCGGGATGCCTTGGGTTTTTCTCGGGTTCCGATGGTTTTGCTATGGGCAGCGTGGCGCTCCCACACGAAAGCACTTCAGTGGACGTCCTTGGGTTTCGGAGTTTGGTTTTTTGTGGAAGGTTTCTTGTGGACTGACCTCCGCTGTAGGGATGGTAGGATCGAGCACAGTCGGGTCGCACAGCAAGGATCATGCGATTCGTCGAGGCTGCCCTTGCGTCCTTGCCCCCTCGGCCCGTCCTTGGCGACGTTCGCTGGCCAGCCCCCGCTCGGGCACGCCAGCACTGCCCTCCGAGGCCCTGGCATCCTTACCGCGAGGGGTGGGAAGTGAGAAGGAGAAGACGATCTCAGAAGGCGGCGTGACTTCTCAGAAGCCCCCCGCGCCTTCTGATAAGTGTTCTTCGTCTGCGGCGAAGGCTCAGAGAGCTTCTCAGAAGGCGGCGAGACCTCCGAGCCTTCTGAGAAGGCCTTCCTCTTCTCACTTCTCCCCTGGGCCCGCCGCCGAAGAGGGGGTGGGCGAAGCAGAGCCTGCCGTCGCCCGCGCGGGCGGGCGGGAGAGGGCGGGATCGGCTCCCGAGTTGCCTGCCGGCCGCGTCCGGGGAGCCGCTCTCCCGCCCCGGGCCGCTCTCTAATGCCCCCGCCCGGCCCAGAATCTCCTTCTCCGTCTCCTTCTCTTGGCATCGCTCGGGCGTGTGCATTTTTCCTTCGGCGAGGGCCATCGAGGAGCATCCTTGATCATTCAGCGAAAGAACCACGCACGAAACCGAAAAAAACACAGGGAATGGACGTCCGAGCGATGGCCAGTTCTCGCTCTCAGCACATCGATTCGCCTCCTCTCTAGGCGTCCTAGCTGGGATCGGAGTGCGTAGATGGGGTCGGATGATCGCACCGCATCGCCGATGCCTCGCCGATGCGGCTCGATGCGAAACCCGATTTTCTCCACGCCGACGTCGCCGATTCTTTGCCGACTTTGGCGGTGCATCGACGATGCTGCGCGATACTCCGACCTCATCTACTCCGACCCCATCTAGGAGGCCTCTAACTAAGCACATCCCTCAGCCTCCTTCTCGCGTCAAGCACCTCCAAGCTCTGACTGCGCACCTCCACCACTCTAAGGTCACGAGGCCAGAACCGCCATTCACCAAGCAACACCCCCTCAGGTGATAGAGAATTGCCAGCGCCCTGATTGACATCCTTGCTGCTGCCCTCCTCCTCCTCCTCCTCCTCCTCCTCCTCCTCCTCCTCCTCCTCCTCCTCCTCCTCCTCCTCCTCCTCCTCCTCCTCCTCCCCCTCCCCCTCCCCCTGTCCCTCCCCCTCCTCCTCCTCCTCCTCCGCATCCTCCCCATCCTTCATATCCGTCCTTTTCCTCCTCCGTCCTCCTCCGCCCGCCTGCTTTTTTTGACGGCAGCGGGTTCGTGTACATGCTCTGGCGGCAGCCGAGATCCCCTTGGATCTTGTCTGACCAGGGAACTAATTACAGTTGAGGCCCTTACCAAGAAACACCCTGCTTGCCTCCAGGGTGCCATGGGTTTCTCGGGTTCCGACGGTTTTGCCATGGGAAGCGTGATTTTCTCAGACCAAAACCAATGGACTTCCCGGGGTCTCAGGGTTGGGCTTCTTGTTGAATGTTTCTTGTGGACTGTCCTCCACTGCATGGCGATGGTGGCGTTCTTCGTGAAGCGCGAGGAGGTGCTCCCGCTGCCGACGGATCGCCTTCGCGCCGAGACGGTGCGTCTGCCGCAGGAGAGCGGCGGCAGCCAGGCCGACGGCGCTCCCCCACGCCGTCCGTGAGGCTGTGGGCGGGCGGGCGGCGGCCGCCGTCGCGGCCCTGGGCTGCGAGCCACCCCAGCGGCAGCCGTTGGAGCACTCGGAGCGGGTCCTCGGCCTCGGCGTGGGCGTCCTCTCGTAGCATGGCGGTGGAGGCGTCGTGGCGCCAACATCACAGAGCGGATTCCGTTCGGAAGACGATAGGGTGGGCCCGGAGTGTCCTGGAGAATTTCGTTCAGCGGTGCATCAGTATCGTTTAACCGATCCCTGTCCCCATGCCCATCCCCATCTCGACCCCACCATCCCACCACCCCAGTTGGGGATATACCCGTCGGACCCCAAAGGGATCAGCCTGTATCCCCATTTGGGGGGGTAAATCGGCCAGTGGGCCCAGGCGACACCAGTGGGGATAGGGATCGGTTAAACGATGCTCGTTCCTGGAGAATATCGTTCTGGATTTCGAGGTGAATCTCGTACGGATGTTTGTTGGGCCAGGACCGAATACTAAAAAAGATCCACGCCGTTTCGGGTTTTGCATTGACAGCAACCCTCGCAAACATCCGCTGCAGCACGTCTGCAAGGTCGGTGCAGTGAGAGGTGGCGCACTTCTTGGGCGAGCATTCCATGTCGGTCGTGGTGGACATGTGGAAGTGGTTCGACACGGTGTGGTTCGGCCAGTTGGTAGTCTGAGCGATGACCGTTGGCTATCCTGTCAGTTTACGCTGGCAAGTGGCATCCCACTGCTTCAGGATGCCAGAGTGGTCAGTGCCTACGACAGCGTCAGACATCTGATGACGGTCTGGCGGTGCATCTTGTCTTGTTGCACGCATATCCCGCCACGCTGCTCATTGTGTAGGTGTGCATGGATACGGGATTGTGCAGAGGGTCCAGTTGTCGGCTCCAGGGGTGCGGCGGGCCTCGCGCACTCGTAGACGATGCCACGCTGCATGTCGTCGGCGAGCAGGTACACCCGGCCAAAGAGCTGGCGTCGGCGGCGAGGTGCCTCGCGCAGGAGTGCCGCCAGTTTGTGCTGATCGTGCAACGCTGCGCCTCGAGCCGCAGAAAGCCAGCAAGAAGCTGGACAACGACCTCTACGTGGGACTGGTTGTCATTCTGGTGGTGAGGGCTCGGCTTGCCACGATGCCAGCTTGGCTGCCGCGCGGGCTGTCGCTTCGAGAAACCGCTGGCAGCAGGGTGCAACCGTTCTGGCGCAAGGGGCTGGGCAGCTCCGCTGCGCGCGGGGCGGCCGTCATTGGTGTCACTGGCGCCGGTTTGCGCTGCTTCCGCAAGACGGCGACCACGGTGTGCGGGGACAGGTGGGAGTCATCGTGACCGTCTGTCTGGCGACGCAGCGGGATCGCATCGTGGAACCGATGT